AACGCAAACATTGACTCAAATGAGCGCCAAATATGACGTAAGCATTGGTTGCGACCAATGACTGCATTGTATTGAATGCACGCACACTATGGCCGCCATCTGTCTGGCAGTCAATGAATCGCTATTTCTTGTGATGACATACAGTCTATGGAGGGGACAGACAGTGCGCTGCCATGAGGTGTAGGCATAGGTGTGTCAGCCATGGGTTGCGTGAAGTTTTGTGGGGGAAATTGGGTCGTAAATTGTGATCATATTTTATTTATAACGTATTAATTATCCTTGATATTATTTTTTTATATACCGGTATATATTGATGAGTTTATATTTGATATACTAAATTAAAAATAAAAATTAAATTTTATCTAATGTTTGGTCATTTGATACATAATTATAATTAATGAATAAATTTTATACATAAAAACAGTTCACAAATAAAAATGAAGTTTAATTTTAATTTTTAATTAAATGTCAAACATATGGTTAACAAGCGATGAAGTCTTCACTAGTGTTTCACTTATTCATATCAATACTATTGCACATAAATCCGACCGAATGTCAGGTCGAGGGGTGGACAGCTTTTGGAGAGGCGACCCCATCCACCACAACAGCACCGGACACGAGTAGTGCACTGCCTTTCCTGTCACTACTATCGCCGGCTACTACTGGAGCGCCTATGGCTGAGACCACTGCTGCCGGTCAGACTGTTCCTGAAGAGGTGGCCACCATTGCCGCCTATAATACCATTCCCGTAGACGTGGTCCCCATTGCCGCCGATAATACCGTTCCCGTAGTGGTGGCCACCAGTGAGAAGCCCAGGGATAAGGTGTTTCTGAAAGAGAAGAGCCCACTGTTGCTGCCAATGAAAAAAGAGAATGTCTTCGCGGGAAAGGATCCCAAAGATTTTAAGAGAAGAGACAAAAGTATTGGTATTTTAAGACAATGAGTCCATTCACTCGTATTTAAGATAAAACTTACTTATGAACAGAATTTGTGGATATTTTGAAGTTTGATATCATGAAACTGGACGTCAAGAATATGGCACAATTGATGCCATTTTTTGACGGATATAAGGCTTGTCTCATCCATTCATTCAGTCCATGCATTTCCAGTTGAAGATTAGACTAACAATAGTGTGAAATATGTGCCGATTTAGAGGTTGTTTAACAAGAAGTACGCGGATCCTAAAGAACAGGATGTGAGGTTAGGTTTGTTCAAGAAGTCGATTGAGTCGATTCAGGACCACAATAGCAATAAGACCGCGGAATACCTGCAAGGAGTCAACGAATTGTCAGATCTGGTCGGCTATTAAGCATTCATTTCTCAGTCTTCGACGTCTGAATCCATTGTTTTCTCTCTCAAGAGTTTTCCCGAGATTTTGGATCAAAAGTTAGGTTTAATGCAAGACGAAGGAGAAGACGATGAGAAGACGGACGACGACGTGTCCGTTGATCTTGAAGTGAGACTAAAAGACGGGGGGATTAGGATTAAGACGAGTGGGAAGACTGTCGGCGGGAAAACGTCGCTTTCGGGAGACCTTAAAAGGAAGTTAGACAACGGAACAGAGGAAGTGATGTCCTTTGATGTTACGGTGCGAGTCAAGGACAAGGACCCGGGGATTAGGTCTAAGTCAAAGCGGCGTTCAAAAAGTACGTACGCAAAAATTTGGTCAAAAATTGACCTCCACCCCCCACCCCCCTATGCGTACGTACTTTGTATCGCCGCCCAATGAAAAAGATTTTTTTTGGGGAAAAACTTTGCTTTTAGGAAACGTTAAGATGGCCTCAGCTTCTGTGCCATCGGTAGAAGACGTACCAAAAGAGTGGGATTGGAGGAAGTTTGGGGTCATAACCGCTCCCAGAAATCAAGTGATGTTCATATTTCTTATATAATGTATACATAAATCTGATGCAACCCTATCCGCAAACACCAGAAAAAGTGTGGCTCGTGTTGGAGTTTCGCGGCCGCCTGTGTGCTCGAGAGTCCGTCCCTTTCATGGCTTTCATCATATTTATGACGCTTTTGTAGTAATTATGTACTCTTTTAGGTCATAACATGAAGCGATTGATAGCGGAGGGAAAGTTTGACCCCAAGAGTCAACTCACAGTCAGTGAACAGAATCTGATTGACTGCTCCGGAGATTTCGGTACAACTGGTTGTAAGGGAGGTCTGTATTGTAGTGTCGGTTGACATGAAACAGTGATCTAACAGTAATAGCAATCACTGGCGATTGGTAGGTATGCCTCAGCAGGCATTCAAATACGTGGCCGCAAACAAAGGCATTATGGGAGCGGATGCCTACCCCTACGCCGGAAAGGTATGTCTCGTGGAAAATATGATTTAAGTTAAAGTTGTGTTTATATGACGACCAGAAAGACGATTGTGTCTACAATCCGGCCAAACGAGTGGACGTCGACGTGAAGAAAGGCAAACGCCTGAAGACGGGACGGGACGAGCAGTTGGTGACCGCTATCTATACCTACGGACCCGTTGCCATCGCAGTGCACGTCACCAAAAATATGGCCGCTTATAAGTGAGTCCTAAAACCCATTTGAATGGTTTTGATTGCAATGGTATTCGTGTGTCCATTAGGTCCGGCATTTTCGATGACTCCAAGTGTATCGCGAAGAAAGTGAATCACGCGGTGGTAGCCGTCGGATACCATCCCGACTACTTCATCGTCAGAAATAGGTTTGTCCGCTAAGGATACGCCAATAAAGACTAAATGATACTTTGTTTTGATTGGACAGTTGGGGCGCGAAGTGGGGAGAGAGCGGGTATATCAGGATCGCCAGGCGTAAGACAAACACGTGTGGGATCTCACAGCAGGCCTGGTATCCTATAGTTCCCAATGCCGTCAACACTGAAGCCATGAGAGACAGACTCCTAGAAAGACCTGAACTGGGGGTGGGAGTGATTGGCCCCCAAACCAACGATACCTCGGATACGGAGAACGAGACACGAGATTACGAGTCGCGTCAATAGAGCCGCCAATGAGCCGATCATTCATTTCTATTTGTCTTTATTTTGAATTACTTTTGAATTATTACTTAAATAAATTAAATCGAAAAATATATAAATTACTGTCATTTGTAATGCCTAGTTATTAGTTAATTAATTATTTTACTGAATAGTTTTTGTTGAGAATATTTATTTGTAACTAGATAATTAGTTTTTAATAAGTTTGTTAACTTTGATACAGTATTAGATATTTGGTTATAAGTTATATCTGTTCGGCCAGAATGAGACGTACCTCTGAAAAATTGCTTTTATTTCTTCTTGAAACATTGCTTTTGTGTAAAGTTTAAAATT